AAATTATTTTTGTTACTACTCTTAGGAAAAGTCAGTCCTCCATATTCCAGGGTCCAGGATCTTCAGGTTCAATCAACCACAGATCAAAAATTTTTGGAAAAATAATGTCTGTACTGTATTTTTTTCTTGTTGTTGTTCCTCAAACTAGGCAGTAAAACTATTATTTACATGTCATTTTCATTGTATTAGATATTAGTAATCTAGAGATGATTTAAAAAAGATAGGAGGGTATCCATAAGCTGTATATAAATACTATACCATTATATAAGAGACTTGGGCAATCACAGATTGGGGGTTTGGAGGATTGATCCTGGAACCCATCCTATGTAGATACTGAGGGAGGGCAGTGTAGGGTATTTAATTCAGACATTAATTGCTTTTGCTGTGTGTGTGTGTGTAACTGTGGGTGAAGGAGAATGATACAGAAGCAAGAAACTGAAATGCTGATGAGACTGCCAAGCTGGTGAGAGGGAGGACAGGTTTCTTTCCTATAGCTGGAAGAGTGAAAGGTTTGAAGTTATGATGAGTTTCTCCTGCCTCCCAGCACCCTGAACATCTAAGTTTTCCGGTTCATTTGCAAATGAAAATTCCTTTCCATGGACATGCTAGAGTCAGGTTTACTGCTCTAACACACAGCCATCTATGCTTGCTTAGAGGTGACAGAAACAGGCTCCCTACAGGGAAAAGATGGCACAACCAACTAGGTGAATGACTGAAGAGATTATTTATTTATGCAAGTTGGGTAGGGTGCAGGGAGAGCAACAAGGGATGGGAGCTAGTCACAAGGAGGAACCCCAGGCTAGAAGGAAACTTAACTAGAACCTGGATAGAGCTGCTGTTGGGAGAAAATTCCTTAAAGGAATGGTAGCCTTCAGTAGAGGGGCATAGCCAATCCAACATTTCCTTGGCCTATCAGTGCAGGACACAAAGGCAGGAAAAGAAGGAAAGGGAATAGATCTGAAAGGCAGGTGGAAAATGGCTGGCACAGCATCTAACGCTGGAGAACGGTGTAAGTGACAAGCCAACCCACCTTATGATACAGCCATACACCACCATACTGAGCCTTTCACAATGAAGATTTGAGAGGGTGAGGGAGGTGGCTTGATGACAAAGCCTAAGGCCCTGGGTTCCATCCTCAACACATTTTAAAAAAAGGAAGATCTGAATCCAGATCTTTTGTTACCTCACCACTGTAAGAAAAGCAAATTATAAATCAATAAATATATTAAAACCCTAATCAATAAATATACTAAGATCCAATCAATGAATATATTAAAACCCAATCAATAAATATACTAAACCCCCATATTTGGATGTAAACCAAATATTAACAGAGATCAACTATCTCTTCTCTATATTTAAAGTTTCTTTTATGTACACTTCTCAGTTTGTCTTCTATTGTGCCTCAGGGGTCAAGACAACAGACTGTTCTAACTTGACTGGAAGACAAAGAAAACATCTATTGGAGCTGGGAGTTAGAGATCTTCTCAGGCTGAGCAAATGAGTTGCTTAAAAGGCAAACGACTATTACTTCTTTGTTACCAAAACAAGGAGAATGCTAGTGCCACTAATGGACACTATCTCTGGGGTTGACCCTAACCAGGTCAGTGCTTAGAAGTCCTCTTGTTCAGGGCAATTCAACAAGACCTGTGTTAACCAGCAGTAGGTAGTATGCCTCACTAGCCAGGCATGTTTCCCAACCAAAGAACATCAGCACAACTACCCAACCAAAGAGCGTCTGCTGGCTACTATGTAGAACAAACACATGTGAAAAATAAACAGTAGAGAGGCTGAGATTTCTAACTTCTCTTCTCCTCTCAGACAGCTGGTAGAAGACTCAGTAATTTCTCAAAGAAGATAAATAGGAGGTGCCTGCCTGAGTGCTTCTATTTCAGGGGTAGGGCAGGGTCATGCAGGAGGACCACTGCTACCCAGTCCCTCAGTCATGATCAAACCCCTGAGAAACACAGAGCAAAGAGTGCTGTCTTTCCTGATATCTGAAGTCATTCCAGGCCTCAATCCCTTCTACAAACCTCTAGGCACAGTAATACCTGCCATGTACCCAACACCTTATGCATGCCAGGAACTATGTTAGACACTTAAACACATCTCCTACTTTGTAAAACACTGAACCACATTATCTGACGCCCTCTATTTCACAAATAAGGATAATGACCCTGAGGTCATTATCATGAGCCCATCCATGCATCAAATGGAGTCCATGGTGGTGCTGGGTTCAAAGCTGTATCTCCTGAGTCCCTAGCCAAGCCCAACTCTGCCCTGCTTACTAGGAGCACCTGCCAGACTCACCTGAGCTCCACCTGTGCTTGGGATCACAGCTGCCCAGGAAGCCTTCCTCTCCCTCCCAGGCCTCAGTGAGTAGCTAAACTGAGCCCAATCTCCATCAGAGTGGCCTCCCCACCTACTGGGGATCGAAGGTCAAAGAAGAAAAATCAGCAAGCACAGGATATGGCAAAGCAGCCTTCAGACACTAGTCAGGGTGGGGCACGGCCATTAACCAAGGTCCTGTTCTAGGAAAGTAGGCCAAAGACCTGGATGTAGTACAAGTCACTGCAGGAAACTTGAAGTTTCTCTTCAGATAGATCCACAAAACTCAGGTATGTTACGACTTAAAACAATGTTGAGGGACTGGTGGTGTAGTTAAGGAATAGAGCACTTTCCTAGTATGTATGAAGCCCTGGGTTCAAGCCTTAACACTACAAAAAAAAAAAAAAAAGAAATTGCAGGGTTATTACAAAGGGTCCTGTTGATGTGGACTATGTAAGAAAAGCTCAATCTTTTGAATTCCCTCCCGTAAGACCTCAATTATCTTGACTGGGTGTGATTCAAGTAATAGAGCACCTATGTAGTAAGCATGAGGCCCTGAATTTAGTCCCCAGCACCACAACAAACAAAAAACAACTTAATAGGGCTGGAGGTGTGGCTCAAGTGGTAGAGTGCCTGCCTTGCAAGTACGAAGCTGTGAGTTCAAACCCCAGTTCCACCAAAAAAAAAAAAAAAAAAACAAAAACTTAATTATCTAATTTTTTTCTTCAAATTTAAGATATAGCAGTGCTTCTGGGGCACACTGCAGAACTGGTTCATACCACTCAGACTTCCAGCAGAGCTTCAGCTAACATCCAAAGAGACTGAGCTCTGCATTGGTGATTGTTTCTTCTTCAGGAGGAAAAAGTAGAGTCCAGAGACTGCCTGGTCATGCTGAGGGACATGAATATACCATGAAGAATCACCTAGCACCACTGACCTCATAGGGTGGGTGTGCCCAAAAGAAGGAGCCAAAAAGAAGTAGCAATTCATTCTACTGCAGGAGTGAACTGCTGCTGCCTGCCAGTTCATTTGAAGGATTCTGATACTGCAGCCTTGGAATCAAATTAACTAATCTCATAGCTTCATGCTCAAGGTCCTCTCACTGTCCAGTCCAAGTTTCACTTTCTACCCTTCCTTATTCTCCCTTATGCACACTCAATACTCTATCAAAACCAAATGATCTTTGCTTTCTCCACTCCAGGCTCTGCCCATGTTCTCTCTGCTGGCCATGTTCTTTCCTCATCTCATTAGCATCAATCCGGTTTGAACCATGGCAGGAATTAATTCCGTGCTTATTTCTACTTCTCTGTGGTCTTTCTGGAAGCCCCCTCTCACCTTCACATAACTTCTGTCTGCAAGTCTCCCACTTCTCTTGACCATTTCAGAGCATACTGAATGTATCTCCATCCTACTCCTAAATGCCCTGCCACAGAGTTGACTATAAATTAGTAAAACTATTCTGAAAAACTCATTCTTACAAACATACATACTCTTGTGTATAATTTCTTAGAGGACCTGGGGAGCTACCTCACTCATAGTAGTTTTCCATTAGTGACTGGACATCTAGTATAGGTTCACCAAGTCTTTGTTAACTAAGCAATGAAAATCTTTTGCATAGAATTCCTGTGTCTAACTAAAGAGTCCTAAGCCTCATCTTATCTGGAGATAACAGTGCAGGAGAAATTGCCCCACCCTGTTCCCACACTGGGAATGAGACTGGATTTAGTTTACATAACTGCAGCTGCAACCCAACAAGGTTGGGTAGGGTATTAAGTCCAGAGAATGTTCAAATGGACATGGCAGCTGTATGTCCCGTCCTCCTGGAGAGCTAAATGCATCTCGAGATTGTGCCTGCTACTTCAAAGGCAACTCCCTCCCAGGAAGGAGCTTGCAAGGGTGGCACTCTAACATTCCCGGGGTGTTTACCAATCTTTCAGACACATTCTTTCGCCCAGTTAAGACATGCTACAGGTCACCGAAAAATATTTGAGTAACTAGTTCCAACTATTCTGTAATAATGGTTAAGAAAGGAACCTGGGCCTCAGACTACAAATGTTTTCTACCCACCAATCTTAATTTGATTTCTGAACCACCAAACCCTCTGCCTCACCAACCCGGGAATGTGGGATGGGCAAGATGCTTTTGCTGGGAGAGGCATCTACTCTTCAGGGGGACACAGCAAGAATAGTCATGGACTTTCCTGGAATAGAAAAGCTTTGTTCTGATCCCCTTTTAGCTCTCCCCAAGCTCTTTCCATCCCTGACCCCACCTTTAGCTCTCTGCTAACCCTGGGTCTTCCCTCTGACTTCCAGAGGATTCACAGGAAGTGCTCTAGCTCTTCTAGCACCTCAGGGTGAGCATGATCCCTCAATGGGGCTGATGGGATCCAAATGTTTCCAAATATCATGCCATTTCTAGGAACTATCCCTCCCTAAGCCCTGCTCTGCTGGGCCCTCCACCCTCAAGTTTAACCATTCATGGACCTGTCCTTTGTGATCCAGGCTCTCTGGGGCTTGCCATCTTCACCACTGTCAGAAACACTCTGGCATGGTATAAAGAAACCACGGCAACTTTGGCCTAGATCCTAGTCCCAGGAATCAGCATGTAGGGGAGCTATGGTGGGCTGCGGCCAGTCCGGCCAGCCCAGCTCTGTGACGTCACGTTGGCCTTACCTCATCCCACTCCGAGGCAAAGGAAGGTGACTTCTCCAGCCTCTTCTTCCCAATGCTACAGTTGGATAAAGACTCGCTCCGGCTCCCCATTGTAGTGTCCTCCGTGGGTGAGCAGGTCAGGAGATCAGAGTCAGACTTGGACAAACTGCGGCTGAGTTTGAGCTCAGCTTTGGGTTTGCTGGTGGGAGGGGCTCTGCTTCTGGCCCCGCTCCGGTCTCCTTCTTCCTCAGCACCACCAGGGTGCAGAGGTGCTATGTGAGTCAAAGTCTCAGGGTGTACTCGGCTGTTGCTGCTAGGCAGGCCTGTTGGGTAGCCCACTTTGTTGCTCTGGTCCAGGACGCCAGGCTGGGGGGCTCCAGGAGTGTGCACACCCATCTCTTCCAGCTGCATGCTAGCCTCGTGGCAGGCACCCTGCTGGGGGTGCCTGTCTAGATGGTTCTGGCCAGTGGCAGAGAGCAACTGGAAAGGGTCCTGCCCCACCTCACACACCGGGGAGGAGCCGTGGAGGAGACCTGAGAACTGCTCTGGGACCTGCCCGTCCTGCCCCTCCGCAGAGTCCTGGCTCCGGCTGCTGCTGCTCCGCCTGTGGTCTTGGAGTGGACGGAGAGAAATAAAAAATTAAACGTGGTAAAAATCAACAGAGTTCCATTGCAGCAAGTGTACAGCAGAGCAGGAGAATTCAAACACAGACAGGAAGAGAATGAAGCTGGATAGGCTGGGGAAGGGGGAAAGGGAGAGAAGAGAGAAGAGAGAAGAAAACAGTTTCATATTGTTCTTCATGTTCAATTTGTACCCAAAGTCAGAGCATTTATGAAATTCCAAACACTGGCCTGATTAATGCTATCTGGCAGCCTTCCCTGTTGTTAGATCTCTGTTAACATTAACGACCAGAGCTTGCTATATAAGGCAAGGAGAAGTGCTAACTATATCCTACAGAAAGGACACAAGTGAGGACAGAGTGAGTTGGGGGGCGGGGCGGGGGGGCAGAAGAGAGAGAGAGAAACTCACTCCTGGAACATCTGATACATTTCCAAAAAGGCCAAAGTGTTATTTAGAGCTACCCGCCCACCCTCCCTTCCTCTGGCAAGCAGCAACAGAGGAAAAAAAAAAAAAAGAGGTCATGATCCACAACCTGCAACTTCTGGAATTCCTTAACTGAAAGTGCAAAACAAAATAGAGAAATAACTGCTTCCTTCCTCATAGGATGCCATTCAGAGTTCCACGCCTCATCCTTCCTTCCTCAGAGAACACAGACTTTTCTACTTTTTTTTTTTTTAAAGAATATGCACATCTCCCTCCTGCCAAAGCTTCCCAGCTGCTCATATTTGTTTAAGTTTAACCTTAGCTGATCCACTGAAAAAAATGAAATGGTCTAATTTATCAATGCCAGGAGACATTTGCAGTTCTCTGGAGACCTAACATTCTAGAAATCTGACACTACTAACTCACAAAGCCAGCTACTACTGTATATTCAAAAACTTCTGTCCCAAAGAAGCATAATAATTGGCCAAATCTAAGTCTCAGATCAGCACCATACTGGGACACCTGGAGGCTTTCCCTATACGAACTCAGTCCTGTAAAAGACTCTCATTGGAAAAAAGAAAGAAGAGGAGGAAGAAGAAAGGAGGAGGAGGAAAAGGAGGAGGAGGAAGAACAAGGGAGAGAAGAGGGAGTGAGGAAGGTTGGAGGAGGAGGAGGAGAAGGAAGAGGAGGAAGAGGAGGAGAAGGAGGAGAAGAGGGAGAAGGAGGAGAAGAGGGAGAAGGAGGAGAAGAGGGAGAAGGAGGAGAAGAGGGAGAAGGAGGAGAAGAGGGAGAAGGAAGAGAAGGAAAAGGAAGAGGAGGAGGAGGAAGAGAAGAAGAAGAAGGAGAAGGAGAAGAAGAAGGAGAAAGAAGAAAAAAAGAAAGAAGAAGGAAAAACAAAACTTTCACCTGCATCATGGGGGAAAGGGAGGGAGGCAACATCACTTTGGGAGCTAGATCACATTCCAGAGCTACTGTTCAAGCTCAGTTTCTCTGTAAGTGGCATCTATGGTACATGCACAGAACTATTCCCTAGTGTTCCACATGGTAAACCAAGGTCAGAGGCAAAGATGACAGGGGACGGATGGCGTGGGGGCGGGCGGATGGCGGCCGGCGGCGGCGTGGTCTGGGGTGTCACCGCATTAACACTGGGGAGTGGTGTCCCTTGAGGATGAGGGGCACGGGTGTGCGGTCAACGGCGGTCTAGGGTACTCACGGGTTCCGGCAGGTGGGGAGCTTGAAGTGGTAGAGTGGGTAAATCTGCGGGGTGTGGTGGGATTGGGGGTCGGCGTCAGGGAAGGGCGGGGTGGTAAGGCGGCGTGGACGGCAGGACGGTTGTGTCCAAGGCGTGGTGGCGAGGGTGGTAGGTGATCTGGGGATCTGTAAGCCAGGCGTTCCGGTCTAAGTGTACAGGGACAATGGGCGAGTACCTGTGTGTGGTTCAGGTGGGTGTCAAAGTTGCCCAAGAACTATTCAAGAGAACAGAAAATCTTAGAACCAAAAGCATCAAGTTCAAGTATTTTTACAGATGCTAGCAGTGGTCTGTCCAAGGTGATGAGGGAGAAGACTTTAACCCAGGATCTGGCTCTGCTCCTGGTTGTACTGCTTTCTAGCTATATGGACTTGGCAGTGGTAACTCATTTTGCTGAGCCCCTCACACCTACAATAGTGGGTTAGACTGCATGATCCTTAAAAATTCCCTTGCTGCTACGATAGTGATGAGGATCCCAATCCCTACCATGCCATAGGAGCAAACCTCTCCCCCTTGGGGGTGCTGCAGAACCCTACTTAGTACTTCTCCTGTTGTATGTGCATAGCACCCAATCCCTCAACAACATCTGCAGCCCCGAAGCTCCTGCAAGCTCAGTCTGCAGCTGGAAAGGCTAGTAAGGGAAGGAGGGGTGCAAAGCGAACAGCACCTTATAAATGCACTGAAACATAGTCTTCACTGCCTATGTGTGATGCTGGTGTTCCACAGTGCTGGGTCTTCCAAGGTGGCCTTTAAGAAGGGCCCCAACAGCCAGCTCTCTCAAGGAGCCTGAATCCCTGGGGTCTGAGCTGGATATGGCGCCACCCATTGTATTCTTCAAAAGAGTGGTTCAGTCTCCATAGTCTGCTGAACTTCTGGCAAGGCTGCAGAGACAGCAGAGGGGCAGCTGGTTCACACCACTGATGGCTGATTACTAATTCACAGGAGCCCAGAAGTGTGAACTTTGGTGCCTACCTCCTATTTTCTTCACCTCTTTGGAACTTTCACAGCCCCAATTCACAAATCCTATACCCCAAAGGTCAAGTCCTGAGCAATGAACAATCCCTAAACAACCTGAATCAGTTCTCTAGGGAAGAAAAAATGCTAAGTGTATGAATTCCATTAAACTTGGTTGGGGCCCCAGGAAACCACGACTTCAAGGACAAATATCCTATGCAACAATTGGCAGCCAGAACAAAGGTGTCCAGTAGTATTGAGTGTTGGGACCACAGAAAGAATGAAACATGACCATCTCAGGTGGCTTAGGTCTACAGTATTTTTTAGAGAGTCTGACACCAAGAGTCGACCACACTGCAAAATCTGCCCTCTCTGTGACCAACTGTTTACAGATTCTGGCCCAAGGCAACACCCTTCTGGCTGTGTGTGAATGCAAGAAGACTTTGTTAAATAGTAGCACAGGTCCCTACTCCTATGCATCAGCTTCTATCTTCTTGTTTAACAATTTGGGGATGGGGGAGAACCAACAACAAAAGAAAATCACCACAGTCTACAACTGGGAGTCTTCTTGGTTCACCCTGCCTGGTGGCCCTCAGAATTCAGGTCACAAGAGAATGTTCTAACTGCTGCTGTGGGAGCTCACAATAAAGGCCCTGTCAAACAGCCACTCATTCATGCCAGCCATCAATGAAGAAAGGGAGGCAGATGCCAAGGGCTCAATACCAGACAGATGCCAAGGGAAGGAAGTGGGTGGAAAGAAGAAATGGAAACTTATGAGGAAGGAATTGTGGAGAGGGAGAATCTCTGAGAGTCATAATGCCAGTACAGAAACCACAACCTACCAGTCTAGCACGGACTTCAAGTCATGGAAAGGGTTTCTTATAATTATATGGCTTAACTAAGCAATTCCCAAAGAAAGATACCTTGTTATTTGAAAAGTTTGTCAAGCTCTAAGAACCTCAGCATCTTTGTGGGTTTTTTTTTGGTTTTGTTTTGTTTTTCTTTGAAGCAGGGTCTCACTATGTATAGCCTAGGCTGGGCTCAAACTTGCAATCCTTCTGTCTCAGCACCCAAGTGCCAGTATTATAGGCATGTGCCACCATGCCTGGCTCTCAGTGGTTTCTTTCTTTCTGCACAAGTCATAATAATGTAACGTCTCTTATGAATAAAGTATTAACAAGATAATATACATGATCAAGAGAGAGATTTTAAGCAAAATATTAGACATCTTGTGCCCTATTATTCTCACCTATAATTTTGGGATCTCAGTACTACTTATTTCATAGGATTGTGGTAAGATTTAAATTACACACGTAAAGCATTTAGATCCAGGCCCAGGACATGCCAAGCTCTAAATAAATGTTAACAATGGTTATTATCTACCACGCAGGATACATTACAACATGCTTTGCTCACAGACGAGACCAGGTACTTCTCCATTCCTCACAGGTCTACCATGGGGATCATCAAAGACATTGCACATGAAAGTACTTTGAAGATATAAAGCACTTATAAGTACCCATTATCTTCATCATCTTTATAACTCAACAGCAGAAGGAAGGGCCAGAAGATGATATGGAGAGAGGGTTCAGAATTGTCATTGTAACCATTCCTTCCCTCAATAACTGTGTTCAAAGTGTGTGTCTTTAGGAAACACCCATGTGATGCAAAGATGAAGACACCAGGCATACTTCAGTGGACCTACTAGCTGTTGGAGGATTCTGTGTACTCAGAAATAATTAGAAGGCAGAAATGAACAGAAACTTTAAGAAAGGTATACCAAACACATGGTAAAAGTGTGATTACAATGAATTGGGAGACTTCTCAGAACAGATGGCTTTGATCTGGGCATTGAAGGAAAAGTGAGACCTTGCTAGGCTTAAAGAGAAGTAGATACAATGTTAGAAAAGGCAGAGATCCACAAATACACACCTCAGGTCCAGGGCTCAGAGTGGCAGAAGAGAGCCTGTAGGTCTGTCATCCTTCTGATGACCCACTCCCACTTCCCACACTCCCTGCCCTCAGCCCTCAGTGTTGGTTCTTCTAGGAGAGAAACAACAAGAGACAACCACACCAGGAAGGAGGGCTGTTTCTTACTGTCACCACACATCAAAGCCAACAGTTCGACTGAATAGGACACACCAGCAAGCTAATTCCCAGCCTCATCAATTTCTGATCTTTATTCATTCTGGGTGTTCACTTTCCTTTTCCCCGTGAGTTGCTGAAGTAACCTGTGTTTCATTTTAATGACTATGATGATCCATGGGGTATCAATGACTTAATTCCCAGCCTCATCAATTTCTGATCTTTATTCATTCTGGGTGCTCACTTTCCTTTTCCCCATGAGTTGCTGAAGTAACCTGT